TCTCTCTCTCTCTCTCTCTCTCTCTCTCTATCTGTCTATATATCTATCTATCTATCTATATATCTATCTATCTATCTATCTCTATCTCTATCTCTCTCTCTCTCTCACTCTCTCTCTCTCTCTCTCTCTCTCTCTCTCTCTCTCTCTCTCTCTCTCTCTCTCTCTCTCTCTCTCTCTCTCTCTCTCTCTCTCTCTCTCTCTCTCTCTCTCTCTCTCTCTCTCTCTCTCTCTCTCTCTCTCTCTCTCTCTCTCTCTCTCTCTCTCTCTATCTATCTATCTATCTATCTATCTCTATCTCTATCTCTCTCTATCTCTCACTCTCACTCTGTATCACTCACTCTCTCTCTCTCTCTCTCTCTCTCTCTTCCTCTTCCTCTTCTGCGTCTCGTAGAACCTCAACTGATTTTATATGTAATATAGACTGTCGGTGCTTGTCACATGGAGTGCGTAACTTCGCGACTATTCAGGGAGCGTCGCTGCTGATTTCAAGCGCACTCTCGCCACCGTGGAATTAATGTACGTTGCTAAGAGCGTACTCGGTGCTAGTCGCTAGGACTCGAAAGTGATGCCTTCGCTAGGATTGCATGCGATATACGTCGCTAGGATCGCACGACTTTCAATCGAAATCCGGGTTATTTATACAGGGGTCGTGTCACTTTCACTACCGAAAAATGTTGTGTGTGATTAGCCACCTGTCGCGCATAATTATCCCCAAGGTAGTCGTTGCATTTATTTTTACCAGCGAGAAGCGTAAAAACATCGTTTAGGTCGTCTACTGGCCAGTGGAGGAATTCGAAAACACGCGAAACGTTATTGTGACTCCGAGGGATGAACGTTATTCGACCGTGGCGGTTCACCTTTCCCGGGCGCGCGATGTTTTGGTCGTCGTGGTGATCAATTTTCCAGGCGCGTTCTTTGTAATCATCTTCTGCACGGCGTGTAATCATTCTTCAGGCGCAGTATAAAGGTGAACACGTAATCGGTAATTATCTCGTAGGGTATTTTACGATAGTAGTAATTCTCTCGGGCGTGGTACAATGTGATTAAACATTCATTATTCGTCGGCGCAGTATAAAGGTAGCAATTACAATGTTAAAACATTGAGGGTAATATACAAGATGGTAAATTAATTGTTAACTACGATAAGGAAGCGAGTAATATAGTAGACAGCTGATGCGTTAACCCTTTGAACTCGAAGCCGTTTTAACTGTAAATTAAAAATAATTTTTTTCTGACTCATGGTACTTCCATTTTATACGACGAAGTGCATTTTATGCATGTGAAATTGAGACTCGTGGTGACTCGTGTAACTCGTACAACTTTTCACGATTTTTTAAACCTAAACTTTGTTAATATAAAAATTATCTTGGAACGTGATGTAACAATTTTCGTGGTGCCTCGGAGTCACCAATCGAGTGCAATGGGTTAATTCTTTCGTAGGTGTGGTAAACGTCGAAGAACGGAGCATTGGAACACGCCAAGTCGATACCAGCGGAAATACCGTCCAGCATTCGCGCTGACAACATCGTGACAAAACGATGTCACTAATTCTAATTACTATAATTCTTCCAGCAGTTCTTGCTGCGGAAAATTGTAAGTTGATCGCGTTTGTCTGTTAAGCAGATTAAGTATACAATCGTTTCAGAATGTAGAATCTTGTCTGGTGATTTTAATCGATACAAGAATATTAACCTCTTGCCTTACTTCGACGAGTCCGACTTGTCATGAAAATTTCTAGTAATAACTTATCGAGTATAGATGTTATTCCGTCCGTTAAAATTGGAATAAAATTCTAATTTCTTGTCATCAATGCTTGAGCATTCAAGTAAATTTAGGCACACAATAAGCATCATTTTTCTTTCCCTTCTAAGAAATTACAGCAATCGAAAAATTTCTAATCGCAGTAACTTCGAAGAAAATGGTATGTCGAGGGGTTAAAAGCGTGTTTCCTAGCATTTCTCTCGGATCGAAGGTACACAAAATATTTATTATTCAAACTATGCGATCGGATTATTATAAAATTGGATGGGAAAGTGTTTGAAGGCTCGCCGATCTCTAAATGGGACTGCACTGTGGGACGATTATTTCGATAACTGTTACAGCTGCACTCGCGCCAAGCATCGTAAACGGAATCCTGGCGAGGCCGAGCCAAATTCCTTGTCAAATAAGTCGAATAGAAGAAACTTCGCGGTTAAGTGTTCTATCTTCTGACCAACAAATAACGTGTTACCACGATTCTATCGTAATTTCTGAAATTAGCGAATTCTTGTTAGGTCTTCCAGCAAATCTCGTCGAGTCATTTCTGCGGTGGATCGATATTGAACGCGGATTACGTTATTACAGCCGCACACTGTCTAGTTAGCCAAGTGGAACGAACAACATCAACATATTTTCAGCTCGAACTAGTTGCGATATGAATTTCAATATATATATTATTATATATATTATATAATATATTAATTATTATATATATATTATATATATTATATAATATATTAATTATTATATATATTATATATATTAATATATATATTAATATATATACAGGGTGTCCCAAAAATGTCTCGCAATCCAAAAGTGGCGGGTTCCTCAGGTCATTTGAAGCAACTTTTTCCTTTACAAAAATTTTCTCCGAGGCACCATCAACGAGTTATTAACGAAAAACAGTGACCAATAAGAATCGAGTACGGCTGACGCGAGGTGGATGAGCCAACGGCGCCAGCGGTCGAGGCGGTCGAATCCCAGCTCAGCTGGCGCGAGGCGATCGAGCCAATGAGCGGAACTGTGCTTCGCGCGCTGGTTGACTGGGCCGCCTCGCGTCAGCTGTATTCGATTCTTATTTGTCACTGTTTTTCGTTACTAACTCGTTAACGGCGCCTTGGAGAAATTTTTAGACATGAACAACTATTATATGTATATATATTAGTTATCTATCTATCTATCTATCTATATATAATTTCGGGAAGCCGCTTTATATTATAGAATAAGCTTTAATATTGTTTATAGTAAGTCGCCCGTAAAAATAACAGTGGTTGCTGGAACAGTGGATACATGGCAACGAAATTCAATACACTACGCCGAAAAGATTTACTGTCATCAAGACGGATTCGCTTGTGAATAACATCGCTCTGATCAAGGTATTTGATAATCGTAAGATCGACCGTTTTTTAATCCAATATTTTCATCAATGATACGAAATCCTACAAACTGCCATAAAATAGCATGCCGAGCGAATTATGCATCGTTAAAATTCTCGTTCTTATAGAAACTCGGGGCAGTCGGCTAAATAAGGCAGCGGCCAGAATGCCGGTGTACATTAATACGAATACATGGTAATACTAGAATAAAAACAATAACTCAACTTTTTTATTTCTAAGTTTTTGCCACAATTCGAAGGCAATTCGGAGGCCAGATGCTACGATTCGAAGGCAATTTGGAAGCAATGTGCCACGATTCGAAGGCAATTCGGAGGCCACGTGCCACGATTCGAAGGCAATTCGGAAGCAATGTGCCACGATTCGAAGGCAATTCGGAGGCCACGTGCCACGATTCGAAGACAGTTCGGCGGTTTTTCTTACCTGATTCCGACGACTAGCACACACAGGGAAATTCACAGCAACCCGAAGTTTGGCATTTCCGAGAAAAGTTACCGTAGTCCAGAATTTTATACCAAAAAATGAAAAAACCACTCGCAGTCTGGGGGGAAATGGAAAGCGTTGCCAGTTCCAAACGGACGTGGTCACCGACGTCCGAGTGTAAACAACAACATGAAATTCGCATGAGCTGTTACGTCAACAGCTACGATTTTCTATGCCATTTGCCAAGTTCA